TATATATATATTTTATTTATATATTATTTTTGTTTTTGAGACAGAGTCTCACTATGTTGCCCTCAGTAGAGTGCTGTAGTGTCATAGCTCACAGCAACCTCAAACTCTCGGGCTGAAATGATTCTCTTGCCTCAGCCTCCCAAGTAGCTGGGACTACAGGTGCCTGCCACAATGCCCGGCTATTTTTTTGTTGCAGTTGTCATTGTTGTTTTAGCTGGCCTGTGCTGGGTTCCAACTCACCAGCCCCTGTGTATGCGACTGGTGCCTTAACCACTGAGCTATGGGCACCAGGCCAGTATCAATATATATTGATCATTATTGCATCTGAGTGATGCTCACATGGGTTTTTCCCCTATTTTTACACGTTTGGAAATTCCCATACACAAAATTTTTAAAAGGATGATGGAGAGTGCCATGTTTAAGCAGACAAATACAGAGCTCTCTTACCCCGTCCACCTTTGCCAGGTGAAGGAAGCTGCCTTGCAAAGATGTTGCCAACAGGTCAGAAGATGACAGGGTCTGCAGATCGGCCACTGTGTACTTGCCTAGAAGTGTATGGTACCTAAAATGAGACCATAGGGGCCATAAGCACATAGCCCGTGTGACACACAGTAATTGAGTATTGCGCCAGGCTGCCATGTTCAAAATTCAACTTCCCCTTGGCTGAATTAGTTACTCAATCACCTCAGGCCTCTGTTTCCACCTCTGTAGAATGGGAATAATTATAAGAGCTACATCATAGAGTTGTTGGGAGGATTAGCTGAGTTATACGTGAAGCAGTAGAACAGATAATCACTAACCTGGGGAAGCAGGAGGGGGGAATCTGAGAACATGCACAGTTCCATGAATTTGAAGGACTAGGTGGCTTCCCTACACTGAACTTCTAAAATAAGTTTACAGGAATGCCATTCAGAGATCGTGAAGAAGAAAATTAATAATACCTACTTTACTAGGGCTGGGATATTGCTCCGTGACAACCAGAAGGATTTCTTGTCCTGGTCCATGTCCTCAGTGGCTTGTCGGGAAGGCACGAGGACAGTAAGGTTGGAGGCGACTGACAGTGTGGGCTGCAGAGATGCATTCTGAATCACAGAAGGAGCACAGAGGGAGCTGAGTCATGTTAGGGGACAAACAGGGCTGAACTAAATGCTAGGCAGAGAGGACAATTTCTTATGTGATTTAATTTTAGGGATACGGGGAAGGTCCTAGGGTTTTCTTTCCCAAATCCTGATGTCTCTTATTCTCTTTGACCCTCACTCCTTTTATGAAAATGTATGAGTCGTATCAAAATGCAAATTTGCTCCTTCAGGTCTCACTTTAAGTCAGTATAAGTTCTTTATGCCTTAGTCTAAAGAGAGCCAGAGAAATCATCTTGATAGGACCTGTGTGTGCACACACATGTGCAAAGACTCTCGAAAATTCTTGGATGTCTTTGGAGTAAGGATGGTGGGCAGATTTCAGGGACAGTTTCAGCACCGGAGGGATGTGAGGTCTGAACTCACATTCTGGCCTAGAGGGGTAGTTCTGGGTAGAGGTTGTGGCATGTTTATGTTTAACACTGATTCTTTAGGAAAAAAGGTAAGCCCTGGTTTGTAGCAGTTACAGATTTTTTCTGGTGGAAATACACCAGGGCTGACTGCAAGGTATCCACATGACAGCACTGAATGTGGAGGTGGGAAGCAGTGTGCACGGTCAGCTCTTGGGAGCTGGGGTGAGCCGGGCCCGGCATGCCACGGCACACGGGTGAGACCAAGCATAGTCCGTCTTTATGAAAACCAGCATGCCCAGAAGGGGTGCTCAGCTTCTTCTCTTGCTTGTTGGGGGCCTGTGGGTTCCGAGAGGCCCCACGTGGAAGCAATAGGGAGCCACACTAGAGTGCTTACCAGGCATGGCCGATTTTGACCACTATCTATTTAAAGGCAATAGACCATTTGTTGCCAGGGCTGGCTGGGCCATGCATGCAAATAGGACAGTGATGGAGACAACAGAGAGGAGTATGGATTGGAATTTTGTCATAATACTTTCCAGGGGTGGGTAGGTTACGTTTGGAGCCAAGCACATATGAAGTATCCCGAATTGTAGCTATAAATCACAAATCTAACTTGGTGAATTACAATGATGAATTAAAAAATACAACCAAGACCTCTGTAATGAAGGAAGCTAGACATGTATGTTTGAATTGGTTAAAAGTTGACCACCCCACCTTACCCAAGACCAGAAGTTCTCAGCTCTGGTTGCATGTTAGATTCACCTGGGAAGCTTTTAAAATACACCAATGCCCAGAGTAAACCTCTGGCCAATTAGATCAGAATCTTCAGGGATAGGAGCCTAGGGAGGAGTATGTAAAAATGTGTTCCAAGAGGTTCTAAAGCACAGTCAGGGGTGAGAACCACTGCTTGGACAATCACCTTCCTGCCTTCTATTTTTTTTTTTTTTTTTGAGATGGAGCCTCAAGCTATCCCCCTGGGTAGAGTGCCATGGCATCACGCTCACAGCAACCTCCAACTCCTGGGCTCAAGCGAGTCTCCTGCCTCCGCCTCCCAAGTAGCTGGGACCACAGGCGCCCGTCACAACGCCCGGCTATTTTTTTTGGTTGCAGCCGTCATTGTTGTTTGGCGGGTCCGGGCTGGGGATTCGAACCGGCCACCTCAGGTGTACGTGGCTGGCGCCTTAGCCAGTTGAGCCACAGGCGCCGAGCCACCTTCCTGCCTTCTTAAGAGCCACATTTTCAGTTTTCTATTATGGGCATTCCAGGTTTATAAAATTATGTATATCACAATCCTAAATCCCAACAAAGGTACTTACTTTTATCCACTGGTTAAATAGAGCTGCTTCGGCGAGAAATGACATTTCCTTATTCATATTGTGCGGGGGAGGGAGCGGTGGGAGAGAACACAGGGAAAGAACCATGAGAAGGAGGCCTAGCACATTTCTGGGCCGTCTGCACTTAGCCTCCCTGGCGCCGGGCTCGTTGTCCTCGCCAGCCTCACTAGCGCTGGCAGATTGGTGCCCCTGTCACTGTATATCACCCAAGCAGTGAGCTGCTTTTACACCAAGGTGGCTCAGTTATCCTCTACATTTGAGGTCAAGAGGTAATTCCAGAAACTTCAAATGATGCAATAACCTGAAGTTCTTGCAAATCAGAATTTAGGTTGTAAGAACATGGTCACCCAGACGCTAAGGAGGGTCACAGAGCTTAGCAAATGCCCCCCTTTCAGAGTCATATTGAGCAGAGGCTGGGAAGGTGGAATCAAACCACTTGGCTTTTCATTCTGGTTCAGCCATATCCTAGATCTTTAGTCCAGTTACCTAATGGAACTCAATTTTCTCTTCTGTCAAGTGGGGGATAATAAAAGCTGGTTAATGTGGGTAATAGAGGGTCTTGTCTTCATCCTTGTGCTTTTGAGTTTGTCCTTGACTTACCACTGCCACATTCCCGTAGCACAGAAGGCCGTCTCCTTCATAGCCCTCTTGACAAACGCAGCTCCAGATGCCAGAAGTAAACTGACAGCTTGCCTGACAAAACCGAGAAGAGAGACGTAGCTTGCCTTGCTAAATCAAGTGTGTGTAATGAGAAAACAGTCAAGGAACTCACCAGTGGATGGCATCTTTCAATTTGTCCCAAACAGGAAGTTATGGGTTCACAGTCAATCCCATTCCCTTGAAATCCTTTCTTGCATTCACATTCATTCTGTAATTCCAAGAAAAGAATCAAAGAGGATCATGCAAGGCCTTCCACGCCTTGCCTTCATGTGGCACTGGACCATAGAAACCATAGCCCTCTTAGAGAACAGTGTTAATGTCTCTAGCTTGTTACACTTAGAGTCTATTAGAGTCTACATTACATTCAGTCTCCACGTTCTATGTTACATTTTCCAATCTGATAGCTTCTCAGTGCCCTCTTTGTTAAATAATCTTTACCCAAGAAGGGCCTATAGAGATAGTTTCAGAGAAAATTTAGAGCCTAAATAGGATCATACTGGAAAAGTTGGCTCGTCTCTTGAAAAGAGGAAGGTTCAGCAAGCCATAGAGCAAGTTATGGATTTTTATCTTTAAAGCATAGGCATTGTCTGCCATTATTCCTCATAAGGAACATGTGACTGTCTTATACAAAGGATATCGCACACAGAAGCACACGATGGCAACTGTGTGTGCAGGGCAAGACCTTACCAACAAGGGTGTTTGACCTTCTCCACCTGGTGTTGGGTGGCATCTCCAGACACTGCCAACCCTGACAACCCTCTGACATAATTGGTCCAGATGTGCTTTGTCTTTTTAAAGTAATATTCTTGGCCAGAAATGGTGGCTCACATCTGCAATCCTAGCCCTCTAAGAGGCCAAGGCAGGTGGATTGCTTGAACTCAGGAGTTTAAGACCAGTCTGAGCAAGAGTGAGACCTTATCTCTACTAAAAATAGAAAAACCAGCTGGACATTGTGGCATGCACCTGTAGTCCCAGCTACTTGGGAGGCTAAGGCAAGAGGATCCCTCGAGCCCAAGAGTTTGAGGTTGCTATGAGCAGTGATGCCATGGCATTCAGCCGAAGGCAACTGAGTGAGACTCTGTCTCAAAACAAAGACGAAAAGCAAAGTAACATTCCTAATTATTAACATTTGTACCTATCTGGAATGTCTAAATGTTTTTAAGACAATTAGTACCTGCGGAGGGCACTCCTACACATGGTATGTATATTTCTTATATAAAGCCATGGAGAGACCCTTTTCTACCTCTATCAGGGTGTCTTTCAAGTCTGTGTGCAGAAAGGAGGACAGGACAGGGTGGGGGTGGGATTGTCCTATTGGCCTTGCCTCCCTTCATCCTCAGATTCATATGTTGAAGTCCTGACTTCAAATATCTCAGAATGTGACCTTATTTGGAAACGGAGTTGTTATGTAATCAGTTAAGATGAGCTCCTCCTAGAGGGAGGTGCACCCTGAATCCAGTGTGACCAGTATACAAAGGGGACATTGGGAGACAGGTACACACTCGGGGAGAACACCTTGCGAATAGGAAGGCGGAGATTAGGGTGATGTCTCCACAAGCCAAGCAACTCTGACAATGGCCAGTGAAGTTCGAGAAACTGAGCAGGGGAGAAGCACGGGGGTGGATTCTCCCTCACAGCTCTCAGAGCACCAATCCTGCTGACACACTAGGATCTCAGATTCCAGCCTCCACAGGGGTGAAACAAACCATTTTTGTTGTTGTTGTTCTGTGAGCTTCCCAGCTTGTGGTGCATTATTACAGCAGCCCTAGAAATCCAATGCAGACACCAAAGCATTTTTTTTTTCCCTTTTCTCAAATGCAATCTGCCAACTCAAGGGAGTCAAAACGAATGCGATCATTTACAAAACACTTGATAAAAGACTGCAATGAGCTCCTTCCTGATTAGGACTCCTGGGGCCACCTCTTAAAGCTAAATTCCTCCAGATCCAGGAGCAGATTCTCCAGGTGGAGGAATCAGAAGGATAAATGGGAGAGTGGCCCCTTCAGTGCTGGAGAAACACCAAACCACAGCACTTACTCTCGGTGGCCTTTACAGTTATTACATTGTGCTGTTCCAGCTTGTCTGTCGCCTTGCACAGGAGTGCGCTTCTCTCTAAGGCTGGCTGGAGGCCCTGGCAGGGATAATCTCTCATCTCCTTTGCCGAGCTCACAGCCAGCAGGTGTCTGAGAGGTGTTAGCTGAATGAGTGAATAGATGAACCGGGGTGTGAACCGCTGTTTTGTCTGTCCAGCACCTGTTCTCTCTTTTTCTGGAAACTGCACTCCCATTTGGCTTTGGGGACACCATCGCTCCCCCTCTTCTGGTGCCTGATTCCTTCACCTCAGGGTGGGGGCACAGGGCTTTGGCCTGAGCTAACTGCGACTGTACTTCATGTACTTGGCCTGATTTCTGTAATTGCTCACAGGGCTGACGGGAGTGTCGGGAAATGAGGATGGTTATGAAAGCTCCTCCGTTTGAGCCAGCAAAAGAGAATGAATCCTGAGCTTTGGGGGAAGTTAGCAGAAAACTCTCTAGTCTGCTTAACAAAGCGTTATGGTGGTGCAAGTCTGAAGCTGAGGGAGACGACCGCTCACCCAAGAGTCTGGAAGAAGCTGGACCATGAAACTGACCCTTTATGCGGCCTTTTGAGCTCTGAGTCCTGCTGAGCTAGACCCACATGTGGATTGTACAGGAATGTGAACCTAAATGTTCCGCTTTCTTTTTAAATCACTTTATTTGTGGTTCCTTTTTCTTTCTTTCTTTTTTTTTTTTTTAAAGCATTGTAACTACATGGGAGACAAAATTTAGCATTTTAACCTTTTAAAAATGTATAGTTCAGGGGCGTTAAGGACAGTCGCATTGTTGTATAACCATCACCATCTTCCATCTCTAGAACATTTTTATCTTCCCAAACTGAAACTCCACACTCCTTAGAACTAACCCTGCAGTCTCTGCTCATCCAGGCCCTGGCAACCACCATTCTACTTTCTGACTCTGTGAATCCAGGGAGCTCAGATAAGAGGAATCACTCAGTATTTGACCTGTGTCTGGCTTCTTTCACTTCACATAACATCTTCAAGATTTACCCAGGTAGTATATGTCAGAATTTTCTTCCTCCTTAAGGCTGGTTAGTATTCTATTGTGTTTATCCATTCATCTGTGGAAGGACCTTGGGTTGCTTCCACCCTTTGACTATTTTGTGAATACAGAATGGGCGAAGATATTTGCACGCTACCAATTCTACAAAGGATTGATAGTGAGATTAAAGAACTTAAGCAAACCAATAAGGAAAAAACCAAACGACCCCATTAAAAAGTGTGCAACACTTTTAGAAACAGGATCTTTTCTGCAAAGATAGACAAATGGCCAACAGAACATTAGAAAAAATGCTCATTGTCTCTGGTCATCAGAGAGGTGCAAATCAAAGCCCCACCGAGATCTCACCTAACCCCAGAGAAATGGTGTGGATTTGGAGAGGAAAAAACCAATTATACACTGTTGGAGGGGCTGGAGACTGGTGCAGCCTCTATGGAAGGGAGTATGGAGATTCCTCAAGGAGTTAAAAGTAGACATACCATTTGATCCTGCAAAACCATTCTAGGTGTTTACCCACAGGATAAAAAAGGCATTCTACCATAAAGACACATTCAAATATTTACGGCAACACAATGCACAATTGCAAAGATGTGGAAACACCCCAAATGCCCTTCAATACAGGAATGGATTAATAAATTGTGGTACATCTATACCAGGGAATATTATTCATCCATAAAATGTTGGAGATTATGTAACTTTTGTAGCAACCTGGATGGAATTGGAGATCATTCTCCTAAGGGAAGTATCACAGGAACAGAAACACAAACATCACAGGTATCCAGTACTAAATTGGAGCCAGTGGATTAACACCTCCATGTTCACAGGAGAGAAGAACTCAATGAAATTCAAGCCGCGGGGAGGGGGTTGGGTACATTCCCACCAACAGTTACATTGCACGGGTACCCGGCACTCTGCGTGGGAGTGGGAGATACCTACAAATGGGACCTTAACTTTACAAATGCAAGCTATGGATAGATATCAACACACATACAGAAATGTGAGCGCCAAGAACCACAGGTTGGGGACCAAAAGGGAGGTACCGTGGTGAGCAAGGTTAGACCTTATACAAACAGCGCCTTTGTCAAGGGGGAAGTGCATTTGTGAAAGAAAAGAAAATGATTTGGAGGTTTAAAAAAAGGTTCAGCCTTAAAATAGGAAAGGGAGAAGTTACATCAAGATGTGAAAGAGGGGGGATGATTTCAAATCCTGATTCCCATCTTCTTAGCCTTCTAGAACCCACCTATTGGTCCTCCCTGTGGGGAGAAGTGGAGGGAGGAGGGATGGATGGGAAGGGGCCCTGGTCAGTCACTTCTCTTCTCCAACTCCGCTGGAGCTGATTAATCCCCAAGCAGTCGCCTTCTCTGCCTTAATCTCCATTAAATGAGCGTAAGCAAAAGTGACCAAGGAGCTACAGAGTCCTACAGGAAGTACAAGGTGTGGGGGGACAGGGTCTAAGGAGGAACCTCACACAACTTTCTATGTTACGTGAACAAGTTATTTAGCTTTTTGATGCCTCAGTTTCCTCTCCTATAAGACGAGATAATAATAATACCTTGTCATAGGTTCGTTGTGACAATTAACCCATTCTCACTGCTTCAAATGATAAAAAAGCTGCAATAAGTTCTAGCCAGAGTACTTTTGTGTCCCGGACAAAGAGAAGCCAACACAGGAATCCTGCTGCTTCTTTGCTCTCTCCTGTGTCCAACCTACCTGGCCAGGGCCTACGTACAAGCAGGTGGCGTTTTCATGGCAGCCGCCCGCGCCGGGCAGCAGGCAGTTGTTGATCTCCGCACAGTCTCTCCCGTTCCCTGTCCATCCCTGCTGACACACGCAGGTGTGGGTGCCCAGGCCAGTCCTGATGCATTCTGCCTGCAGGAGGAAAAAGGCAAGGCAAGCCTCTGAAACCTCAAACTAGCCATCAAATTCCAAAAAGAACTTCCAGGGGAATGTTCTAGAAACACATATGTGCACTGGGTGCATTGGGAATTGGAATGCTTAATTTGTATTATGGCCAGTGAAAAGATCAGATGGTTTCACCAGCAAGATTGGTCAGAGCTGGCCCCAGCTAATGGCCTGCATCACAAACATCACTCTGTTATTTATGTTAAGACAGGGACTGGTTTTTTTTTTGAGACAAGAGTCTCACCATGTTGCCCTTGGTAGAGTGTCATGGGGTCGGTCACAGCTCTCAGCATCCTCAAACTCTTGGGCTTAAGTGATTCTCTTGCCTCAGCCTCCCAAGTAGCTGGGACTACAGGTGCCCGCCCCAAGGCCTGGCTATTTTTTTGTTGCAGTTGTCATTGTTGTTTAGCTGGCCCAGGGCTGGGCTCAAACCCACCACCCCTGGTGTATGTAGCTGGCACTGTAACCACTGTGATAATGGCACTGAGCCAGCCAGGGACTGTTTTTATTATTTTGCAAGTACAAATGATCATCTTGGAGAAAAAACTGCTCTTATCTCTCTATTTTACAGATAAACAAACTGGGTGTTGCCCAAGGTCATGTGTCTGTAAAGAGACCTGAACCAGGTCCCTAAAATGTGGAGGCCCAAGCTCCATGTTGGCTGGCGGGTCTCTCAGGAGGACCCTGCCAGGAGGCTGAAGGGCAGGCAGGGTGAGAAGGACAGCTAGGTGCAAGAAGTGTTGTAGAGACCAGGCTGAGAGGGGGCGAGGCTTGCCCAAGGGGACTCAGGTGGGTGGGGCCGGGCAGCTGTTCCCAGATTTTATCTCCAGGAACAGAGGACATTCCCCATGGGGGTTTAGCCTCCGGAAACACCATCTGAGTTGCTTCAGGTCACTCTGGCTGTGGGTGGACAACACACTGTGGACAGGCAGGAGCGGAAGCAAGGGGACCTGCTATCAAACTGTAGGTCAGAGAGGAGGGTGACTGGGGTCAGGTGGTGGTGACGCCATTCGAGAGGTATTAGCAAGAGCAATGGAGTGTTTGGACAGTGTCCATAACTGCAATAGAATGTAGGGCAATTCACTTAACTTCCCCAAGGCGCGTTTCTCAATCAGTAAACTGGGGATAACAATATTGATTTCCTTGGGTTGGTGGGAGAAGCAAATGAGATCGGATACATGAAAGTCCCTTGTAAGTTGTAAAGTTTGAATCAAGAGGTATTACCATCGGTCTTGATATCTGATTCTCACGTGGTGTTTTCTCAAGCTCCCTGCATATCTGAACTTAAGAAGTAGAGGCTCCTAGAATAAGGTGACCAGACGTCCCACTTCTGGCAGGACAGTCCCGATTTTTTTTTTTTTTTTTGAGACAGAGCCTCACGCTATCCCCCTAGTAGAGTGCCATGGCATCACAGCTCACAGCAACCTCCAACTCCTGGGCTCAAGCGAGTCTCCTGCCTCAGCCTCCCAAGTAGCTGAGACTACAGGTGCCCACCACAATGCCTGGCCATTTTTTGGTTGCAGCCATCATTGTTGTTTGGCAGCCCGGGCTGAATTCGAACCTACCACCTTAGGTGTATGTGGCTGGCACCTTAGCCACTTGAGCCACAGGCACCGAGCCGCCAATCTTGATTTTTAACAATTTGTCCGGCAGCGTTTTAAAAAAGTCCTGATTTTTGGAAAGAATGCACTATAATCTAGGAAAGGGCGGGACAATGGGAAGGGAATATATGGTTTTTGGCTGCTGAAAAGGTTAATTTAACTCCATTTGGGAATGAAGAGGTTAATGTAACTTCAGTTGGAAATGAAAAGGCTAATGTAAACTCCCTACTCCCCTCCTGGGCAAGGTTGCCCGGGTGGACCAGCGCCCTACTCCTTTGAGCCACAGGCGCCGCTCTATACATAATTTTTTTTAATGTATTATATTTGTAAATGGTACTTATGTTGAAATTTTAAAAAATTACAATACTATTTTCGCGTTCTATGAAAATTTTTGTTGCTCCATATAGACCAAATTTTAATCAAGAACACACCCCTCCTCCGCCCCACCCCCCGTCCCACCCCCGATCAATGGTGTCCCACTTTACCAATGTTAAAATCTGGTCACCTTATCCTAGAAAGTACCAGTAGCTGTTGTTAAAATTTAAGGTGCAAACACAAGTGTGTCCTGCATATGAAAAGTGATCAGACCCCTTTTGGAATGCCTTCCTTGGGGTTTCTTTAAAAACGACAAGAGCAACAACAACAAAAACCAGGTAGCTTGGAAATAAACCACCACTCACATTGCGGCTACAGCTCCCGGGAGTTAATCCCATGCAAGGCTCCATCTTGGAACAGACAACTCCATCTCCTTCATACCCTGCTTTGCAGATACAGCTGCAAAGAGAAGTGTGTGAGGTTAGCCCCTGAAATATAAGCACCATCCTCCCAGCAGAGGGAAGCAAGTCACCGCCAGGTGGTGGGACAGTTTGCTCAGGTGGAGGAAGCCAGTGTTGAAATGTGGTCAAGGGTACTTCTGGGGTCTACAGCCAGACACACCTGGCTGGGAATCCAGGCCCCTCCCCTTCTCAGTGTGTGTGACCTTGCCCGAGTCCCTTAACCACAGGGGACTTTGTTTCTGCATCTGGAAAATGGGCACAATACCTCCTGTCCATAAGTCTCAATACCCCACAGCTTTCTGCTCTTATTGTACCAGAACCTGCTTCTTTATAGGTCTTTCTGCTCAGGGCTAGATACGAGCAGCTCTGCCCTCTCGTTTATGTAAGAGATCTTAAAATGACAGGCAGGTGAGACTCTTCTCTGCTCCTTCACATATATATTTTTTCCTCAAATGAGATGTCCTTAGGTGCCTCATTCTGTGAGCTGACCGTTTCCTGACTCATCACCCTTTTAGACACTCCTCTCCAAATGCCCCATGGTGATACTTTCACTATTAAATGGGGACCATTCACTCACTGATGGGTCTGAGTGCTCTGTAATAGGTGGTGGGGAAACCATGTGGGCAAGTTGTGTCCCCATGTTCTACTGTAATTCACTCATGTGCTTCACAAAAATGAACAAAACCATTTTTCATGTGTCAAGTTTCCTAGAGGAATGAAACTTTCATCTGGTGCCCAAATGAAGAAATGGGTTGATCTCTTTCAAGACTGACTTTCTTAAGGTGATACAGAAAACACAGACCTGTAACCATGGTCCTCTGTGGGTGACTCAGGAGTAAGGGTCATTATGATTACATGTGGTTTTGCCTTATGCACTGATGTAAGTCCTAACTCCTTATGAAAATGTATTTTTTTTTTTTTTTGAGACAGAGACTCACTCTCTCTCCCTTGATAGATTGCTGTGATGTCATAGCTCACAGCGACCTCAAACTCTTGGGGCTTAAGCGATCCTTTTGCTTCAGGCTCCCAAGCAGCTGGGACTATAGGTGCTGGCCACAATGCCCTGCTAGTTTTTCTATTTTTTAGAGATGGGAGGTCTCACTTTGCTCAGGCTGGTCTTGAACTCCTGAGCTCAGGCAATCTACCTGCTGAGGCCTCCTCAAGCGCTAGGATTATAGGCATGAGCCATCTTGCCTGGCCAGGAAAATGTGTTCTGCTTTTATTGTACAGAATGCATTCTATTGTAAACCATGGAAAAGAAAAGACAGTCTTTGGCCTCATGTACCCTGCAGCCTACAGCAGACAAGTCAGCAAATAATCGGATATTCCCAGAGAAGAAAATTTCCTTTGGTATTTTCCCTGCCGCCCCAAACCCACTGCAGGTGTTAGCATTATGAAAACAAATTGAGGTCTACCACTTCAAGATCCAATTTCCTGAGCACCACCAGGGGAGCTATTATTAACAGCTTTAGGAAGTAGAGGCTATTTTTTTTGCAGTTTTAGCTAGGCCAGGCTTGAACCCACCCCCTACCCCGGGTATATGGGGCCGGTGCCCTACTCCTTGAGCCACAGGCACCACCCAAAGGCATTTTTAAAGGTTGGAAAGTTGGTGAACAAATCTTCAGTAATTATACTCCTAGTTTCCATGAAGAAACCCCTATGATGTGTTTTCCCTGGTGCTGGGTGCTTTTTCATTTCATTCTTCTACTCTTCCTGATTGCCCTGCTAAGGTAGATATCATCATCCTTACGGCTCTAATGAGAAAGTGAGGCTCAGAGAGGTTAAGTAACTTGCTCCAGGTCACACAGCTGGTAAGTTTCAAAGCAAGGAGTGCTGCAAATTGAGATTCTTTCCACAAAAGCCACACTGAGAGAACAAGCCTTAGTTTACAGAGCTGAGATATGGGTTGGCTCCATCTGCAGGTGACACAGTGGCTTTGCATTATTAAGAGCCTTCTCCCAGACCCACCTGGCTGTCCCATTGCTGTATTCACAGGTGGCATGGATGTGACAGAACTGGATGTAGGGCCCACAGGCTGATGTCTGCTTGTCACAGAATCTCCCAGCAGAGCTGTCTCTGCACGTGCCAGTGAGGCAGGCCCCGTCACTGTCTATCCTGTTGTCACACGTCCCGTGAACACAGAGACATTCTAAAAGAGGAGAAGAGGGACATCAGGGCTTGGGGACAAGCTGAGCATGGAGGCAGAGCTCCCCAGGGGACAGTGACCCCCTCCTCTCACCCCTACCTGTTCCTGTCACAGCAGAGCTTGGACACTAAGCTGGGGATAGCTCCTGCTGCTGCTTTTCAGGGTCTCAAGCATTTCTCAGAGTGCTTGGATGGCCCTTGGTGACTTTCCCACCCAGGATAGTGGATTTTCAGCCTTTTTTTTTAATCGCATGGCATACTTGAATCTGTCGTTGAACTTCCACAGCACACTTAAATTATGTTGATCAAAAAAAGAAAGAAATATGAAAAAGAAGATATTGACTGTGCTTTGCATTTCTTTCAAAAATAATTTAATTAATGATCTCTAAAAAGTTTTGTGGCACACCTAAGATCCTCTCACAGCATCCCAGCATGCCATGGCACACAAGCTGAAAAATCACAGACTCGGGAGAAGTATGTGGTGTTGAGGCTGCTTTTTAAGTGCGTGTGAAGGGGAGTCAGGGACAGGTGGGTAAGGTGCTGTGAAAAAGGCCAAGGAACTCAATTTTCAACTACTTTCCTATTGGACAGTTTAGCCTGGGGATCTCTCCCCTTCCATGAACTATTCTGATGTAAACAGGAGTGATTTCTTATGCTGGCAGGGCCCTGGTGTGCTCACCACTGTCACAGCAGATCAAGGAGAACTAAAGGAGAGCTAATATTTGGATGACTGATGTCATTCAAAGCACTGGGGATTTTGACATCCACCATCTCATTAATAGTCACCAGTCCCAGGAGGTGGGAACTTGATTATTTCCATTTTTCAGATGAAGAAATTGAGGCCCAGGGAGGTAAGGGAAATTTCTAGCTTGCTGTGAGGACCCCAAGCAAAGACTTGACCCTGGGCTTCCAAGCCCATTTCTGTCAGGGACTGTACGTGAACACAGCAGATCATTGTATTAACTGTTGTTCCAGGCCCTGTTACTATTTTAGCTGCTTAATTTCCTTTTGATGATAGGTCTTTAAAAATTGCCGTGTGAGCTGGCTCGTCCGACTCAGGCTTCTATGCACATGGGAGCAAAAAGAAAGCTATGGAGAGTCTCAGAGGAAGGTGGGAAGGATTCTGAGCCCTGAAATACAACCGGAAGTGAAGGAATCGGGGGGATCTAGCCTTAGAGGGGCTGATGGAGAGGAATTAGCAGAGGTGCTTGGAGCCAACACCCAGGAAAGAAAAAGGGGACTGGAAAACTATAGCTGTATTTACTCCCCTCAAATCTTTATACAATTCTAAGTAAGTCAGGGCTTGTTTTCCAAGGAGCAAACCCATGTATGTGATCGTGGGCGGACACAAACCTGGGATGGGAGGCATGAGAGCTGCTGCCCACCCTCCCCCAGCCTCAACAACCTGTCCCACTGGCCTCAGACAAATGCCAATGTTGCCAGGTCTTGGAATAAACCCCTATGTTTTTTTTTTTCCCCTCAGGCATCCACTTTGGCAAAAAGAACACTGGAGTAGGATTCTGTGCCTGGACTTAGCTATTCTCTGTCCATCTTGGGAGGTCGCTGTGAGGATCATATAAGGTGAGAGGGGACGGGTGTGTGTTTTGTCACAAATGTGCAGAGTTAGTAGCAATAATCGTGACAGCAGTTATGTTTATTGAATACAATCTGGGTGCAAGCTCTGTTGTAAAAGTCCCAAATTATGGTCTAACCTCCTATCAAAAACCTATTAAGTAAGTGCCAGTATTATCTTCATTTCATAGATGGAGAAATTAAACCACTTTTTCTAAGATCATATAGTCAGTAGGTTGCAGAGTGGGGCCTTAAGTTCAGGTAGGGCTGATCCCACAGCAAGCTCTGAAATACTAGTTTGACCCTATCATTAAGTCCTATTCTTAGCTTAGAAATATGTAAAATATAAATATATACTGAAATATGCACAGGATATCATTTTAAAGGACATACTGTATTTCCTAAGACTATATAAGTGCATTTTCCCCTCATACCTATTGTTGTGGAACTTTCTACATGTTTGACAAGCTTCTTTTTTGGAGGGGGGAAGAGTCTCACTCTGTCACCCTGGGTAGAGTGCTGTGGCATTATTATAGCTCACAGCAACCTCAAATTCTTGGGCTTAAGTGATCCTCTTCCTCAGCCTCCCAAGTAGCTGGGACTGTAGGTGAGCACTACTAGGCTTGGCTAGTTTTTCTATTTTTAGTAGCGATAGGGTCTTTCTCTTCCTTAGGCTGGTCTCAAACTCCTGAGCTCAAGCCGTCCACCTGCCTCAGCCTCCCAGAGTGCTAGGATTACAGACATGAACTACTGTGCCTGGCCACGATAAGCTTCTTGATATTTTCGTCATTGCCTTTAGAACAGTAGATGGTAGCTAGGATACTTATGGCACATACTACATGCTAAGTGTTATTCTAAGGCAAGTGCTTTCCAGTAATAACTTGTACTCACTCCTGAGGCAGTGACTATTACTATCTTCACCTGTTTTAAGGTAAACTGAGGCATAGGGAGGTATGAAGACTTGCCCAATGGCGGCAAGATGGAGTAGGGAATGGAGGCACTGATGGAGGAGGCCTGCTTGAAAGGTAGAGAGTGAACCTGTTTCTTGATACAGAACCCACTCTCTTGAATCAGAAACTCTGCAAATGGGACCCTCCAGCATAGGCAGGAGTATTAGAACCACAGTGTAAAAGCCACCCTGCAATGATGGCAACCCCCAGCAAAGGGGTTACAAGACACCCAGCAGCCTGCACTAGCACAAGGGGGACCCTGGCATGGGAGTGGAAGGGAGCTCCAGAAGCATCACTTACTTTTGCCACAGCGAGGTCCATATTTATTGGGATCGGAGCAGAACTGACACTGTGAGCCTTGGAATCCATCCTCACAAATGCACGTCCCGTTGCCACGGCGGCCATCTGCACACTGGGAGCAAAGACAGACCCCATGGGCTGTTAGGGTGCAGGTCCGTGAGGAAGAGTTTGATGTTTGCATTCTAGGACCTGACTTCTGCGAACTCAGGTTCAGTCTCACTTGAAATGACTCTTTGGGACCCCTTGTGGGCAGTGGTCTTGGGGAGGATGCTACAACAGTGACCAGCTTGGGGACCCCGAGCCAGGATTTAGAACTTTAAGAGAAGTCACTGAAGGGAGGGTCGTGATGGGGAACCTGGAACCTTCAAGAGACGCGTACAGGATAAGCCATAAGATGGGGCCTTCAGAATGAGTGACCGGCCTTTCCCTCTGTACATTCTCACTCAGCTCTGTGACTCCAAACTGCAGTGTTTTCTCTCTTCAGTGGTAAACATACTTTCCTCCCACCTTCCCTGCCCAGCCAAGGCTAGGTTCATGTTGCCCGATGTGCATCAGAGTTGGGCACAGCTACCTTCTCAGTCCCTTGGCCACATTCTTAGACAGGCCTCTCCCTGTCCTCCTTTTCCGCACGGTGCCCCCACTCATGGCTGTATAGGTTTTTCTTTCCCCTTGCAAGAAGTGTATTTTAGGTGTGGATTTATTAAGCACACAGATCTCTAATTTCCCCATCCGAATTACCACGACTTTTACCTTTGTTTACCTTTGGCCTCCAAGTCTGATGAGTTAAGTTTTGGCCTCATCATTTCACTAGGTTTTGCAGAAAGGTTAAATAAGCAATCAAAGGGCAGTGCTTTTTAAAAAAAATATTTTTAAGTACCATAAAATCTTAGTCTTGAAAGGGGTCTTAGAGGCCAATGCAGGGCAACCTTTCTATCTCCCCACGGGATGTCCAGAGTCACCAAGGTCCTACCGATGGCAATAGGTAAGAAGAGATCAAAAGCACCATCACTGGACCCTCTCCCTTCCATCCTTCCATTCCCAAGACCGAGCTCCTTCTACCACATGTACTTTCTGTTCTGGTAGTAACTGATTGGTTGCTTTTATTTTCTGGGACTAGTGGCCAGCATTGGCCACTGGCCATTGGTTTAGCAGGTTTTTTTTTTTTTTTTTTTTAAATTTTTTCAGGTTAATTGAAGGTACAAAGAATTAGGTTACAATGTTTGTATTTGTTAGGTGACGTCCCTCTTATAATTGTGTTCCGCCCCCAAGAGGTGTGCCATACACCCTAACAACTGTGCCATTAAGTAGGAGCACACCCACAAATTCTAAAAGCTGCAGATGCCAGTGTGGATGTGGAGAGAAGGGAAGACTTTTACATTGCTGGTGGGACTGCAAACTAATACAACCTCAAAGAATTCAAATTAGACCTCCTCATTTGATCCTGAAATCTGCCCAGAAAAAAAAAAATCATTTTATCATAAGGACATTTGCACTAGACTGATTTAGCAGTTTTAAAAATTGCTTTTTTTTTGGAAATAGAATCTCACTTTGTTGCCTTTTGGTAGAGTGGCATCATAGCTCACAGCAACCTCAAACTCTTGGGCTCAAGTGATCCTCTTGCCTCAGCTTCCCAGGTAGCTGGGACTACAGGTGCCTGCCATAACGCCTGGCTATTTTTGGAGGCAAGGTCTCTCTCTGGCTCAGACTAGTCTTGAACTCATGAGCTCAGATAATCCACCCACCTTGGCCTCCCAGAGTGCTACTATGCCGGACCCTTTAAAAATTGTTATTTGACTTGATTTCAGAAAGGTCAGCTTTCAGCATTCAGCATTCATTGTGTGAAAAGTGTCCATTGTGAACTGGCCTTCTCACCTGTCCATTTCCGGAGCATGGATTGGAGAAGCCTCCTGGACATTGGTTGCAATCGGGCCCATAGAAGCCTTTGCAGCATTTTGGTATCTGAGAAACAAAATGTATATTGCACTTTGAAACCCCAAGCAGAGCTCCAATTCCTCAAAGGGGGTACATTTTAATGTCCATTGTTGTGATAAACCATATTTATCCTTCCCAATGAGCATGCCTAGCCCTCCAGCAGGTGATGGCACAGCTAGTAGTCAGCCATCTGGTCACCACAAATCTACCAAGCACCTCTCGTGGCTGCCAGCCTGGCTCTAAGCCTGTGCAAAGAAGACAGATGAAACCCCGAGCATTTACGGAGCCAATGTTCTAAGTCAGGGAACAGACCATAAGTGAACGAACCACCAAAACTAAATAAATAAATACAAGAAGATCATGTCAGAGGATGGCAAGTGCTGGTGAGCACTGGGAGAACCAAGCACTGTAATACAGTGGAGGCAGGAGGGGAGTCTGCGGAGGCCACCATGGATTGAGTGAGGACAGAGGCAGAGACAGTGAGTGGACGCTGGGAAGATGAGTCAGCCCAGGGGAACCTACAGAGCACAATGAGGAAGGGAATGGCAAGAGAGGAAGGAGGGGAGAGGCAGGTGGGAGCCGCCCAGGGGCAGAGAGTGGGCTCTGTGTTAAGGGAGTAGGGACCACGGGAGGTGCGATGCTGGGAGAGGGGTTGCCTGGCCACCCAGTAGAGAACCCTCCCTTCAGTTCCCCTGCAGAGAGGTGTTACCAATGCCTCATGGCCATGGTGACCAGCAGACTAGAGCCTGGGAGCATGGCCCTTGCTCTGCTTGGCCTGGACCCGTCCCTTGGCCGCACAGTCCTCACCTTCACGGTGGCATTACAGTACCGGGCACAGCCAGTCTTCAGGCTCCTGTATATGCTCCTGTAGACACATCTCTGTGTGAAGAGTGGCTGGAAGAGAACCAGGAAAGTGAGGCTGCCTTTCACGGTCCTCTGGGTATCGCTTGACACCTACATATACCCTGAGCAGAGGATGCTGGACCACACTGGCACTTCTGGGTCCAAGTCAGAGCTTGGGCTCTCTCTTTAGGCCTGTTTCCTCATTGATAGGATGTAGGCCAGGGTCTGCACATTCTGTAGCTCATGCACCTTTATGTCCCTTCTCATGCCATGGCAGACATGTGTAATTGATCCAGAAACACTTTCTGTTCATCCTGGATGTGGCCCTGCCTCCCCTTCTGACTTATAGCCATTCCCTAAGCTCCTCCTAATTCCAAAGCCCACTGAAGAGTCAATCTATATGTTGTGGAATGATCCATCTAATGTAACAGCAATCGTTTGAGTTTTTCTCTTAGGAGTGGGGGCAGATTAAAATGCACCTGTCTGTACTCCAACTGCTGATGCCCAATCATAACTATCTAGAATGACCGCTGCAGGAACTTACTATGGGCCAGACATATGGCACATATAGCTTAGTCAATCTCCAACTGCACACAAATGTTTTTCATGCCATTTTTACACATGGGGAAACTGAAACCCAGGCAGGTTAAATCCCCACCCCCTACCCCCCCCCCCCCCCCAGGAAACACTGCAAGTATAAGGTCCAGAGAATAAGTCTTATTACCTGTTGGTTTTAGGATCTTAGGCAAATCACGTGGTCTCTTTGGGCCCGAGCTGCCTAGTCTGGGCAATGGGACAGTAACACTGATAACAAGTTTTCATACGAGTCTAGTCCCTGCCTCAAATTTTGTGTTAGATAAATATTCATGACAAGCTGACCCCTTCTTCTTAGGCTTTTGCTCAAGAAGAGACAAATGAGATCTTCCTGGGGTATGAAATCCTAAAATCTAAGATGTTGGGTCTCAGGATAAATCCTAAAATCTTGTTGGGTCTCAGGGTAATTAACCAGGGGTGGATCATGGGACTGTGGGAGGAGTGAGTGGAAGGTTCCTTTGGCTCCTACTAAATCTCGGATGGTGGCTCAACACAGGCAGCAAACCAGGGCTCGGCCACATGTCACCAGTGTAACCTTGTGCAAGGTTTTTTGTTTTGTTGCCTTCGTTCCCCAATCATCATTGGCTATGATAATGATATGTCTACCCCAAGTGGCACCCTGCATTCACTGTGATGTTAGCCAAGGCGATTTCCTCCTCTCCTCCCTCTCACACCCCCTGCCTGATGGCAGCATCCTGAAGGACTCAGCGCTGACGGCTTCACTAGGACTCATCACTGTAAACATCCAGACACCTGTGCCTACTTACTGTTTTGCTTTATTAAACGCTTCACATCGAGGAGCTCATCACTTTCCATAATCATCTAATCTAGCATTTGTGGAAACTTCTGCTTGGAAAGTTCTTTCTTATGATGAACTCACGGGTAGACATTTCCATCATTATTTTTACCTTAGAACACTTGGCTTTTTGCTACCCACAGATCACTTAGCACAGAAAGTGGAGGTCGTTGCACTGCTGTCTGTTTCATTTTGTTAAAATAAAATTTAAATAAATTTAAAATAAAATTAAATAAAAAATTAAAAAAATTAAAATTAAATTTTTTATGGCATCAACCTCAAACCCTTGGGCTTAAGCGATTCTCTTGCCTTGGCCTCCCATCCCAAGTAGCTGGGACTATAGGCACCTGCCAAAAGGCCCAGTTATTTTTGGTTGTTACTGCAGTTGTCATTGTTGTTGAACTGGACCAGGCTGGGTTCAAACCGGCCAGCCTTGTTGTATGTGGCTGGTGCCATAACCACTGTGCTATGGGCGCCAAGCCTGTTTTTCTTTTTAAATGGAGCTTCTCATGATCAAAACAACAGAAACAAGACCCCACTGTTTCTTATTCATCCTTAGGCCCTGGAACCAAGCACTATGCCTAACATATTATGAGTAATTCTGAATAAACATGCACAAAATTCAATTAAACTTAAAAAAGTTTTTAATATTCCCAGTATCATTATCCTAATCTTTCTCTTCAAAGTAATGCTTGGGAAGAGCAAATGCAAATATTGGATTTTATTTAAGGGGGGGAAAAGTAGAGAGGAACCGAGGGGCTACTTGATTTAGGAATTGTGCTTGGGTTTTTATTGCTGCCAATCTTTGTGTTGCTGTCATTATTGTTATTAGTTTCAGATTTAAAAAAAAGAGCAAAATGGTCGAACAGCTGACCTAAGTTCAGTGAACAGGCTTCAAACACAGATCTGAGGGTTCTCTTTCGACCATCCCTTTGTATAATAGGCTAACCGCTAATCTCATTAGCAATTAATATTTTTTAAAGAAGGGGGGTGGAAAAGCCAAGAAACCAGTGGGGTTGCTGGGGTGATTTGTGGTTTCGTGAAGCTGTCACACTCACTACGGGATAGGAGTTAGCAGGACATTTGCTCCGGGACCGTAGGGAACAGCTCTCGCAAGTGCCCTGGAAGGAAAGACGTTAGGTCAGTACTCGTGTCCCCATCTCTGGTGGCGCTTCCTTCTCTGTGATCCCAGGGAGCTGCACGATGGCCACGCTCCCGTCTTCCTCCCACCCACTCCCGGGAAAGGAGCAGAGTAAATACTGGGAGTTGGGGGGAGGTTGGGAGAAAGAGCTGAGCCTGCTTGGAGTAGTCCTTTCCTCTCCCTCTTTCAGCGACAGCTTGTCCATTGGCCGTAGAAACACACTGGGGGCCACGTGGAGACAGAGGCAGAGGCTGCAGCCATGTGGCTCCAAGCCAAGGAATGCCAAGGATTGTTGGAGCCATCAGAAGCCAGGAGGAGGGAAGAAAGAGGCTTCAGAGGAGGGAGCACAGCTCTGCGGGGATCTTGATGCCAGTGTCTGGCCTTCAGAACTATGAGAGGCTACATTCCTATTGCGCTAAGGCCCTCCATCCGTGGCAGTGTGTCATGGCCGCCCCGGAAGCTAGTACTCTTGGGTAACATCTTTCCTTGCAGAAATTCTCGGAGGAACTTTGGTTCACGAGACAGAACTTCTGCAGTAAAACTCGGTCAGGGTTTTCTCCAAGTTGTGAGGAGTGGAACATCATGTGCTCTGAGGGGCTGTTGGGGGCCCTCATTTATTCTCCTCATTCGCTTACCAGTTTCATTTCCTGACGGGTCTCATCACATCGGTGGGGCAGAATTGGCACGATGGACGGGGGAATGAGAACTCCAGCTAGTGTGTAAATTCGGCCATTTTTGGCAGCAACCTCTGTTTCTTCTATTGCCACATCATTTGCCAGAATCTGTCCCTGGAAAGAAGCAATGACATCCTTTGTTCTGTGCTGCAGGAGTGCCAGTGGACCCCCCCCCCCAAACCCCCGGCAGATCCAAATGGTGGCAATTCATTAAAAAGTCCTCAACGCCGCTTAACTTTTCACTGGCGGGAAAGTTGCTATATCAGAGAGGTTTGGCTGACAGAGAAAGACTGGATCTATTACATGAATGCTTGGTGAACACCAGGCAAAAATGCCCCTGCAGAAATGGTCCCTGCAGGCTTGGGGCTGGGGAAGAGGTATGATTATAATTATTTCAGCTCTACAATATGTTTGCTGTGAGACGTGGGGCAAATTGTCTTCCTTTTCTGTGGCAAAATAGGGATTGATTGATTCATCCCAATACATTTATTGACCTTGAATTATCTCTGCCTTAGGTGTGGGGATACATCAGTGAAAAGACAGACAGGTTCCTGCTTGTGTTCCCGGGGAGAAGGCAGCACATGAGCCAATTAGCAAAGATTTCGGATCTCCATCCCTCTCCCCCATCCACCCTCCTGCTTCGCCCTTCGGGTATTAACAGCACCTTAATCCTTCTGGTTGCTCAAGTCAAAACCTGGGAGTCCTCCTGGCTTCATCTGCCTTCAGCCCTGTCCAGTCCATCAGCAAATTCTACTGGGTCTATCTTCAAAATACATTCAGAATTCAACTACTTCTTATCGTGTCCCTGGCCTGGGTCACCATCATTTTCGTTGCAATCAAATGAAATCTCCAAAACAGCCTTTCAAAATGCATGTCTGATCATGTCATTCCTCTGCTCAACCTCCTCCAATTGCTTCTCGTGTCTTTTGAAGGAAGGGCCTGCATCCCTCCCCTGACCTCCCAGGTCCCGGACCTGCCCCACCCTCCCCTTCCTTCCTGCTGCCTGGCATCCCCCCGCCCCCTTTTGTGCTTCCTGTTCCAGCCACACCATCCTTGCTATTCTTCAAACAGCTCAGGCATACTCCTTGCTCTGTGCCTCTGCCCCCGCTGCTTTCTCTCTCTGGAATGCCCTTTCCTGGCTAGTCACACTGCTTGTTCCCCCAGTTCCTTCAGGTCTTTGCTCAGATGTTTCCTCCTCCATGAGGACTTCTTTGGCACTATATCTAAGATGCCAGCCCTTGCCCATTCTCCATGGCCCTTCCCTGCTTAGTTCTTTTTCTCCTTAGCACTCACTACTCTCTGCTATATGAAGTATTTTACTCATTTAGCGTGACGATCCCCCTACTTACTAAAATAGAAATTCCATGTAACCAAGGACTTTTGTCTACTTGATTCACTGGTCTGTCTTTAAGACCTAGAATGGTGCCTGGTACACAGTAGGCACTAAGCAGGTATCTGTTGAAAGGATGAGATCACCACTATCACCATCCACAGGGATTCAACAGGAGACATCATTTCTGGGCTGCCAGAGTTCTGCTGATGTTATAACCCCAGAGAGTTAGTCGAATAGTGCTGCCTTCTTTGAATTCTTACACTAAGTCATGTTCTAGTCTCAGGGGTTAGGTGATATCTCAGGGTGGTTTTGATTTGCACTTCTCTGATGATTAGAGACAATGAGCATTTTTTTCATATGTTAGTTAGCCATTCGTCTGTCTTCCTTAGAAAAGCTTCTATTCATGTCTCTTTTACCGTGATACATGGGATTGCTGGCTCTTTTTTAATTGATTTTGTAAAGCTGCAGGTGCTGGTGTGAATGTGGAGAGAAGGTTACACTGTTGGTGGGACTGCAAACTAATGCAACCTTTTTGGAAGGAGGTTTGAAGAACCCTCAAAGAACTCAAATCAGACCTCTCATTTGATCCTGCAATCCCATTACTAGGCATCTACCCAGAATAAAAAAAAAATCATTTTATCATAAGGCCATTTACACTAGACTGTTTATTGTAGCTCAACTTACGATCGCCAAATTGTGGAAACAGCCTAAAGGCCCACCAACCCAGAAATGGATTAACAAGTTGTGGTATATGTATATCATGGAATACTATCCACTAAAAAAGATGGAGACTTTATATCTTTTGTATTAACCTGGGTAGAAGTGGAACACATTCTTCTTAGTAAAGCATCACAAGAATGGAGAAGCAAGAATCCATTGTACTCAATGCTAATATGAAGGCAGTAGATGATCTAATACAAGGTGGGGGTGGGGGAATGAGGGAGTGGGGAGAGGGGAGAGACGAGGAGGGGAGAGGATGGGGG